GCGATCACATAAGTGCAAACAGATGTCTGCTGCAGTTTTAACTATGCAAAAACAGCAATAGTGTATTACCTAAATAACATTTTAACAATGTTTTTCTTGGTAGCAAAATTAAATTAAAAAAATTGAGGAAACCTTCAACATATCCCCTCAATCTGGTACCTTGAGTCTTCCTTGTGTCCATTCGCCTGTAGCAAAGGTGAAGAAAGGAGGACTGTTAGGTTCATATCTCATAGGGCTATTTTCTAAGGGGTATCAGATGACATCTTTTTTGGAAAGAATAGATACTGTTAAAGTGACAGAGTTGCATGTGAAGTGTGACCAGAACTGACAGTTCACTCTGCCTGGAGCTTTATGTCCAGACACAACTACTACCACAAAAGTATACATGAACCATGTAAAAACCATCATTATTAAAAGGTATTTGACTACATTTCACTTTTCTGGTGTAAAGCACTTAGACACAAGTTGGCTGCATTGCAGACTTCAGTCCTTAGCTTCCCTCACCAACAAATCTGAATCTTTGTGAAGCCTGTATTAGCACCTGGGAGTATATGATGTAGTTTCTTCGCTGCATTAAGTAAAAACCTTTCACAGTTGTATGATCTTTATTTAATAATATAATGAATCGTGTGATGTGAATATACTGTCAGGTGCTTGTGAGTTAGTGTAATCAGTGGCGTACACACAATCAATGGGGCCCTGGTGCTCCATCTTCACCCCCCTCCAATCCCCCCCCGATAGACACACACACACACATACATACACACATACATACATACAGAGACACATACACACACACACACACACACATACATACAAAGACACAGACAGACATACACACAGACGCACACATACACATAGACACAAATACATACACAGAGACACATAACATAAAGACACATACATACACACAGACACATACATACAGACAGACATACACAAATACAGACAGACAGACACATGCATAGAGACAGACACACACACACACACACACACACACACACGACACACATACATACAAACAGACACATACACACACATATACAAAATGTTAAAGTCACCCTCCTGTTTCCTACCTTTTAGGTGCAGGAAGGTGACTTTCCCTGGGGTCCAGTGGTGACTCAGGTTGATGGGAGTCAGAGTTTCCACTCTGATTCCCTCTCCTTCATCCCACGCGGCTCTCTGATAGCTGGAAGGAGTGACACTTCCTCCCAGCAGTGATCTCATCCTGCACTGACCGGGGCCCCCTGGAATTCCATACCCATCGGGTGGTCCAGCAGCATGGGCCACCCGATTGGTCCCTTGAACGTGCGGCCATGGCGGTTTGCCGCGCAGGCCGGTGCCGCAAAACATGGTGGCTGGTACCTGGTCGCAGGGTCTGCAGGGATGCCGGGCCCCCTGGAGTGATGGGCCCGGTTGCAGCTGCGACCCTTGCGACCCCTATATGTACGCCAGTGAGTGTAATGTTACCCACAACATCAGGCACCCACAACAGTAGAATCCACCACTGACAGAGCTAGACTGAAAAATCGACATATTATCAAACCCATACTGTACTTTCTGCCTTAGATTGGGTGTAAAAAGTGTAAATATAGGGGTGTAAGTGTACAATGCATATACAAGTAATTACAAGTGTATTTTGTTCTTTTAGACTTCCTGGATTCCCCATAGTATGTGTCTATTTCCCTCTTACTCGGCTCCTGTGTCCCCCTCTCCTCTCTTGTATTTCCTGTATCTTTCCCCCCCCCACTTGTGTTTCTTCTCCACCTTACACGCATTTGTGTAGCTCTCCTTATCGCCCCCAATTTTGCCTCTCCTCATTTGTGTATCCCTCTCCCCTACTTGTATACCTTCTCCTTATCTCATCTCTCATGTCTTTCCTCCACATTCCCCAGTTGTGCCCCCATATCAATTCTCCCTACCACTTGTGTGTCTCTCCTCACGGGTGTAACTGGGAATCACAGGGCCCCTGTACAAGAATCATAGAAGGGCCCACTTTACACTCTCACTGATACACATACACTGACATACACTCACTAACAAACACATAGTAATTTGCACACAAACTATTTAACTAACACATTTTTTGTGATAGAATCACACACATACTCACTGACAAACATACATTGACATGCACACATTCACTGACAGACACACACATACTCACTGACAGACATACACTGACATACACACACTCACTGATACACACTGCCAGACACACACACTCACTGACAGACACACTCATTGATTTGACACACACAACAACAAACAGACTCACTGACAGACACACACACAATCACTGACAAACACACACACACACACTGATTTAAAAAAGACACAGTCGTTGGCACACAAACTGTTTAACCAGCACACATTTTTAGTGACAGAAACACACACACACACAGAAACACATTCACAGACAGATCCTGATTTGACACACACTGAAAGACACATACTCACTGTCAGGGTGGTCCAGTGCCCGGGACCCAGACACTGTCCGGGCGGTGGTGCCTGATGTTCAGAGTAGGAGTCACAGTGTGGTGGTGGATTAGCAGGGTCTGGTGCAGGGCAACCACACGCCACCTGGTGTTGAGCACCAGTGTTTGTGCAGCCACATACCAGAACCCTGATTCAGCTTATGCGGATCCCAGAAACTAGGAGCAGGTAATTAAGCAGAACTCCCAGGAGCTGAATAGGGAGGCTCTGCAGCAGGGATGTATCCAGTACTGAAGCAAGGCAAGACTAGGCACCATGCATTAAAACAAGACAGAACTAGGAGAACAGGGCAAGACTAGAGATAGGCACATTGCATGAAATCAAGACAAAACTAGGAGAGCAAGGCAAGACTAGAAATAGACACCATACATGAAAACAAGACAAAACTGGGGGAACCCAGAACCAGAGCAGGACAGAAAGCATAACCTAAAACATGTACACAAGACATGAGGAAAACAAAAACATAACATGGGCATGACTGGACAGGACTGTACAAGGACTGGGATTACAAGACAAGGTAAAACAAGACAAGAGATACAAGGTAAAACAAGAGGAAACATAGCTAAGCACTAATTATGAAAAGTATGGGGATTTAGTTACATTATATGATCATGCATTGCATAAGCCTGCCAACAACGTCAATGTACCCCATATCTGGCAGGTCCTACACTGCCTAATGTATACTAAAATAACCACACTATACCACAATAGCACTTACCTGCAAGAAAGGGCAGAGAGATGAAATACTGCTGCAGGTCCAAGCTGAAACAAACGGGTGTGGCAACCAGGGGCGGACTGACCACTCGGGCATAGCGGTCATGGACCGAGGGCCCGAGGCAGTCTCTCCAACTGGAACAGCAAAATAATAAAATAAAACTATTTAATCGATAGGTTGTGGGGCCCCTGATGCAGCGCGGGGCCCCACAACCTACTAATCACTACCACCCCCATGGAGACCTGGCAGCTTCACCTCCTCCCTGCCAGGTCTCCGGCTTCCTCTCCCATGCGGCTCTGTGTGATGGGAGAGGCGGGGCCAGGAAGTGACCTCACTTCCTGTTTACTCCTTTCACACAGAGCCAGGAGGGGAAGGAGCAGCAGCCTGGGAGAGGAAGCAGAGAGACAGGTAGGCACCAATCACACCCCCTCACTGTCACTAGTCACCCACCCTCACTGTCACCCCCCTCACTGTCACCAGTCACCCCCCCCTCACTGTCACTAGTCACCCCCCCCTCACTGTCACCAATCACCCCCCCCACTGTCACCAGTCACCCCCCCACTATCACTAGTCACCACCCTCACTGTCACTAGTCACCCCCTCCCTCACTCTGTCACTAGAGTGAGGGGGTGACTAGTGACAGAGTGAGGGGGTGACAGAGTGAGGGAAAGGGATGACTGGTGACAGAGTGAGGGACGGGATGACTGGTGACAGAGTGAGGGAGGGGATGACTGGTGACAGAGTGAGGGAGGGGGTGACTAGTGACAGAAGAAGGGAGGGAGTAGTGACAGGAGGAGGGAGGGAGTAGTGACAGAGGGAGGTGGTGACTAGTAACAGTCACCACCTCCCTCACTCTGTCACTAGTCACCCCTTCCTTCCCTCACTCTGCCACTAGTCACCCCTTCCCTCACTCTGTCACTAGTAACCCCCTCACACTAGTGACAGAGTGAGGGAGTGACAGAGAGGGGGAAGGGGGTGACTAGTGACAGAGTGAGGGAGGGGGTGACTGTCACTAGTCACTCCCTCCTAGTCACTCCCTCCTAACTCTGTCACTGTGTCACCTGCTCCCTCACTCTGTCACTAGTCACCCCCTCCCTCACTCTGTCACTAATCACCCTCTCTGTCCTTAGTGACAGAGTGAGAGAGGGGGTGACTAGTGACAGAGTGAGGGAAGGGGTGACTGTCACTAGTCACCCCATCCCTCTGTCACTAGTCACTCCCTCCTAACTCTGTCACTAGTCACCCCCTCCCTCACTCTGTCACTAGTCACCTCCTCCCTCACTCTGTCACTAATCACCCCCTCTGTCCTTAGTGACAGAGTGAGAGAGGGGGTGACTAGTGACAGAGTGAGGGAAGGGGTGACTGTCACTAGTCACCCCATCCCTCTCTCTGTCACTAATCACTCCCTCCTAACTCTGTCACTGTGTCACCCCCTCCCTCACTCTGTCACTAATCACCCCTCTGTCCTTAGTGACAGAGTGAGAGAGGGGGTGACTAGTGACAGAGTGAGGAAGGGGGTGACATAGTGAGGGAGGGGGTGACTAGTGACATAGTGAGAGAGGGGGTGACTAGTGACAGAGAGAGGGATGGGGTGACTAGTGACAGTCACCCCCTCTCTCACTAGTCACACCCTCTCTCACTCTGTCACCAGTCATCCCTTCCTTCCCTCACTCTGCCACTAGTCATCCCTTCCCTCACTCTGTCACCAGTCACCCCTTCCTTCCTTCACAATGACAGAGTTAGGGAGGGAGTGACTAGTGACAGAGAGAGGGATGGGGTGACTAGTGACAGAGAGAAGGATGGGGACTAGAGAGAGGGGGTGATAGTGACAGAGTGAGGGAGGGGGTGACTAGTGACAGAGGGAGGGAGCGGGTGACACAGTGACAGAGTTAGGGAGGGAGTAACTAGTGACAGAGAGAGGGATGGGGTGACTAGTGACAGTCACCCCCCCCTCACTCTGTCACCAGTCATCCCCTCACTCTGTCACTAGTCACCCCTTCCCTCCCTCACTCTGCCACTAGTCACCCATTCCCTCACTCTGTCACTAGTCTCCCATTCCCTCCCTCTGTCACTAGTCTCCCCCTCTCCTTCCCTCTGTCACTAGTCACCCACTCCCTCACTCTGTCACCAGTCACCCCCACTCACTGTGTCTCCCCCTCACTCTGCCACCACTCAACCCCTCCCTCACTCTGCCACCAGGTAACCCCTCACTCTGCCACCTGTCACAACCTCCCACACTCTTCCACCTGTCACCTTCTCCCTCACACACTCTGTCACCTGTCACATATGCATTCACACAGACACTATATACAAAAAAGCACATGTAGTCATCCAGACATGCACAAGTGCATTCACACAGACTCAAATACAAACATGCATTGATACACAGGTCTTCACAATACACACATCCAAAGGAATGCCGTATTATGAATTATATTTAACATTTATTAAAATGCACATATATTTGGCCTTCAAAGGGCCTGGGATCTAATTTTGCCCGGGGGCCCCAAAGGCTCTCAGTCCGCCCCTGCCACAAACTATTCATGAACAAATACATTTTTAACAGCCCACATATACACAAATACAACACTACAAAGCAACTGCCACACATATAACTAACACAAGCACAATACAGCAACATACACACCTCAATTAAAAAAAAAAAAAAATAGGACCGGCACACCAAGAGAGTTTAAGATCTTTTGGCACAGTACTACTAAAAGGTTGCCTGTCCCTGGTATAGATATATCAGCAAAAGGTGAATGCCAAAAATATGAATGAAGGGAACAAAATAGTCATATAGGCATTTTTTTTAAATTACTATGAAGTATCGGTTTAACTTATATTTGTTAATGCAAATGCTAAACTTCAACTTGCCGACTTTTGGAACTTTTTTTTGGGAAAAGCTTAGAAAACAGGAGGGGTAGATACTCTTATGTGAAGTTTTTCCTCCTTGGGCAGCATTCCATCAGCTGTGGGCAGAAATTGTATCATGGAGTGCACAAGAGGGCCAAATTGTGGTCTGTAGAATTTTTTCCGATCACAAATCCTCCACTGAAGTTATCGCACAATAAACTTGCCTGACATTAAGAGAAGGGACTAGGCTGCAGGGGTAGGCAACCTGCAGCATTCCAGATGTTGTGGAATGCTGCAGGTTACAGCTCTTACAGCTATAATGCTGGCAAAGCATAAAGGGAAAAGTAGTCCACAACATCTTTAGGGACAAAGGTAGCCTACCCCTGGAAGGGAATAGGTTGATAGGAGTGGGTTTGTTAGCGATTAAGTAACTATCCATCATTGCCATATGCAAAATCTGCATTGACTGTAATGCATGAGACAAACTTTCACATATTAAAGGATCACTATAGGGTCAGGAACACAAACATGTATTCCTGACCCTATAGGGTTAAAACCATCTAGCCCCTCTGGTCCCCCCATGTCTCCCTAAAAATGTAAAACCTTACTTGTATTCAAGTGTGGAGCTGCTAGCTCTGGCTCTGTTTCCTGTACACCTGCCCACTGCCTGCTGACATCAGCAGAAGTGGTGTTCTGAGCCAATCACTATGCTTCCCCATAGGATTGGCTAAGATTAACAAAGAGGCAGATCAGGGGAAGAGCCAGCATGATTCAAGCACAGCCCTGTCCAATCAGCATCTCCTCATAGAGATGATTTGAATCAATGAATCTCAATGTGGAAAGTTCAGTATCTGCATGCAGAGGGAGGAGACACTGAATGTTTGGATGCATTTTAGGCAGCCATGACCCAGGAAGGATCTCTAACAGACATCTGAGAAGTGGCCAGTGAAGTTGTCACTAGGCTGTAATGTAAACACTGCATTTTCTCTGATAAGACAGTGTTTACAGCAAAAAGCCTGAAGGTAATGATTCTACTCACCAGAACAAATTCATTAAGCTGTAGTTGTTCTGGTGACTATAGTGTCCCTTTAACACAGGCAACCTATGTATACTCCGCATTATCTTTCTGATTATTTGTTGGATAGCTTCTGCACAATGTCCAATTTTATTATTAATGTCTATTCTGTCTCAATGTGTAAAGCAATGAATCCATGGGCATAAAGATACGCTTTTATTATAAAGAAATAAAGTGGTTAAAAGATTTAGTAATTTTTTTTTGTCTATCAACATCTGTAGGTTCATATTCTAAAGTATCGTTTTAAAGTGAATTTCAAATGTAAGGTAGAAATAGCTGGGGGGGGGCCTGGCCAACCAAGCCGAAACATAGATGCATCTCCTTTGAGCTATGCACCAGAAAGTGAGTCTTGGAGAGACCAAGAATGCCAGATATAAGGCTCTCATTCTAGCGGCCTACCCCGCTGCCGCCACCTAAAATGGCACCGGAACCTTGAGAGGAGGAAGAAGCCTCAAAAGGGTCATATGAAGAGGAGGAAATACTCCCCGGGCCTCAAGAGAGCCGCTGGGGAGGAGACTGCTCACTCATCGTCCAGCACAGAGATACCACTCTGACCCTGACCTCCTCTAGAGACACAGAGGCATTCCTGCAACAACTTAAACTGCCAGCGATGCGAACTACGGGGGCAGCAACGCTAGTTAAAGGAGCTGTAACCTGAATGATCCAGTGACATATGTCTAGAGCCAAGACACCAGTTCCTGTTGAACACCTAAGGTCTTAGGCTGCACTAGTTCTGCTTTATCTAATCCAGCGTATTATAGATTACACTTTTGTTATCATATGACTTGGTTGTACAATTATGATATATGAGTACCAATCTAGTCACCACTCACTAATTTGCCACAATAGTCTACCCAATAACGCCTGTAGCGCCATACTATTGTCAATGTCTATCTTTGTCTTAGTTTTCTTTACCTTTATTTACATATATTGAATAAGATGTGTACCTGTGTACAAAAAAACAACAACCTCACATTAAAAACAAGGCCAGAAACAGGGAGTAGACACTAGAACAGCTACATTAAGCTGTAGTTGTTCTGGTGACTATAGTGTCCCTTTAAAATAATATCAGAAATCATATATAAGCTAAATGAACTTGAAAGTTGACATACTCTTAATTGCTTCCTCTTGGTAGATATTCAGTCATTTGTAGTTAAAAATCCAATAAGGCAATTTAGTTTGGCAGTACAGTGTGTAACTGCATTAGAGTGGAGGCACTTGGCTTTACTATTTTTTTACTATTTATCATGAAGTTTGACAAGAGATACAGAACCACCTTCATCACAAGCACATACCAAACCAAACTGAATTATGCAGAAACTTTTCCAAAGCATTTAAGACCAATGTAGAAGTCCAAGTAAACTAGATTTTCTGGGCACCAAACTTCTAATTTTATTATTGTTCTACATAAATCTAGCTAAACAATCCTTGCAGAAGGACTTGGCTGGGGAAAATGTTAAATTCATCCATACTAAACATTACTAGCAGGGTTACTCACTAAAGGAATTTTAAAGTGAATTTCAAATTCACTAAACATATCTGAACTAGAAAAATTATCTATGTCAGCTATGCTTCCAGATAACCTACTCTGTCCTTAAATGAGCAATTCACTATGAATTCTCACTTTAGTTAAAAGCTATGTAGGATTTGTAGATCCGCTGCACATTGTTCAACACTATTTTACTCATACCACTGGCAATAAATGTTTTTTTTTTGTTTTTTTAATGACAATAATTATCTAATAAGGCTGTGTGCCTCTAAGGACAATATTATACTGCAGCACAGATTACTGATGGCCTTCAAATGCATACAGTTCACAATGCACATTGCTATAGACTCAGAAACACATGCACTACACATTGCTATAGACTCAGAAACACACCCACTACACATTGTTAGAGACTCGGAAACACATGCACTACACATTGGTAGAGACTCAGAAGCACATGCACTATGCATTGCTATAGACTCAGAAACACATACACTACACATTGTAAGAGACTCAGAAACACATATATATACACTATAGATGGCTGCCACCTCGTGGTCGAATGGCACTTCAATTGGCTTTGAGAGTTCGGGAGTTCGAAGTGCTGCTTCGAAAGTTCGAATTGTGGCCATACAAGTAAAAAAAGGCACAGACAGTAATTTTAACCAGGATTTAACACATGGGCCATAGTCACAGGGCAAGAGGCTGGCAAGTATGCCCCTCCACGAACCTGTGACGAGGTCCAGTTCGTCACACTTCTCCTCCATGCCCACTGTGCCCAATACTGATACATGTCCTGCCAACCATGTCATTTCCCCTGTCCTTAAATCACTTTCCTTTACTGACCTCTTTTTTCCTTTTGCCTTTCCAATGTACTTTTTCATGTCTCTTCTGCTATTTCATCTAAAATCTACCATTGTCCTCCCCATTTAACATGACCCCTATTGCCTCATGCCAGTGTCGCTTTTTCACTTTAAAAAAAATAATAATTTTGGGCTTATAGATTGTTTTGCATTTATAATTTCATTGTTGGTGGTTATTATTTTATTATATATATAGCGCCAGCAAATTCCGTAGCGCTGTACAATGGGATCATCCCAGGTGATCGCTGCTTTGTGCCAAACTTGTAGAAGCCCATCACTGCTCTATAGTTATCAAGTTTGAAGGGCTATATTTATTGACAATGCACAGGAATATGATATCGGTGTGCAATCCTCATATACTTATTAACATACTTCTATGAGTGAGCAGTAATTGACCCATTCTACACACACATTCACACTTTACTTACCATGTGTGTGCAGGCTGATTAGGTGAGATATGTTGCTCTCCACAACCATCCCATTCAAGACTGGTGACTTGGCCCTATTTTGCCTTGAGATGTCCCATGCTGAGGAAGAGCTCTTCATCCTAGTGTTCTCCCCTGGATCCACTAGTGGGCACAAACCTTGCACACATCTATGAATAATATACTTGAAAAGAAAACACAAAATATTGTGGTAGCCATGTTACTAGGCCATCTACACTGATTAGAGAAAGATTGTGTACAATCTTTTACAATTGTGTTTATTTCTGGATTAATTTGACCTAACAAAAATGTATGTAAAGTACTGTAATGATCTGCTGTATTAAGGTGGTTCGTTTATTTTAGATATTTTAGTCGA